ATATTTACTATATTCGTTTTACGTCTTTTCCCTCCTTTTAGTTATCGATGTTTCTTTTTCTTAGTTGTTCCCTGTTTCTTTCTTTCTTTTTTTCATGTTTCTCTGTCCCCTCTCTTTGTCTTACTTTTTGTCGATACATGTCTTTCTCACCTGAGTTCAACACTAAGTGTGTGTGTGCATGCGTGCGTGTGTGTGTGTGGTTTTTTTCTACTATACATTCATACAACGTCTCTTTGCCTCTGTCGTTCTTTTTCTCCCTGTTTCTACATACTGCCCCTACATATTGTCTTCTTATTTGATTAACCTGCCGTGAACTTGAGTCGCCACGAAAGTACACCTGTTCACATATCGTACGTACATAATTTACAACTATGTACACTCGAAAATCGAGATATTATTACTCTCTTAAATCTTCATGTCCTAGTCAAAAACATGTATGGCAAATTCTGTTCAAATATCACTGAGTTCTAAGCTTCTTTCCAATCCATTCTCCCTTTTAACTGGGTTCCTATGCCCGTCTCTCTAGCGTGGTTGGCTAAACCGGATTGCGCGGTGAGCGGGTGACGAACTCCTTGTGGTCTGGGTTCACTCCCGGGGGTGGGCAGAAAAGTCACATTTCTCCCAGATTTACGGTATTTACAATGGAATCAAGGCCGAAAGGTTGCGATATCCATAATACAATACCGAGCCTAAGGGTTAACAACTCATGGCTTCTGGATACTAAAACAAACAAACGAACTAGGTTGCTACCCGCATTAGAGATACATTGACACGTATTGACTGCTAGTCATACAAGCAGAACTCTCAGTTTTGGTACAACCTCATTGGCAGTCATACAAGCAGAATTCCTCTCATACACTTCTGGTACAAGCTCATTTGCACGCATAGAGGCATAATTCCTCTCGTACACTTCTGGTACACCATCAGTGACATTGGTACAATCCGAATTCCTCTCACTCACTTCCGGTGCAACATCAGTGACATTGGTACAATCCGAATTCCTCTCACTCACTTCCGGTGCAACATCAGTGACATTGGTACAATCCGAATTCCTCTCACTCACTTCCGGTACAACATCAATGACATTGGTACAATCCGAATTTCTCTCACACACTTCCGGTACAACATCAGTGGCATTGGTACAATCCGAATTCCGCTCTCTCACTTCTGGAACAACCTCAGCAACTAAGAGCAATAAATATTTATCTGACTAGTTTTTTTCTTTAGAGGTAAGCAAATAACACAATACATATATTATAACATAAATACATGAATGAATAAAGCACAATTTATCATCTGAAGATCTAACACTCCACCTTAACAACCGAAACTATTTTAACACTTTCAGCGAAAATATCAGGAATGAATAAGAAAATCTAGCTAAGTCGCTAGCGTGCTATCCTGGCGATCTGATGGTTTTCGGGTCGATTCCCCAACCCGTGTAGCTCCAGTCTAATAAGTGTTCTCCAGTAAGGACTGGATTTGTTCACACCACCCGTTGATTGTCCACACCACCCGTGGATTGTCCACACCACCCTGGATTGTCCACACCACCCTGGATTGTCCACACCACCCGTGAATTGTCCACACCACTCGTGGATTATTCACACCACCCGTGGATTGTTCACACCACTCTCGGATTGTCCACACCACCCGTGGATTATTCACACCACTCTCGGATTGTCCACACCACCCGTGGATTATTCACACCACCCATGGATTATTCACACCACTCTCGGATTGTCCACACCACCCGTGGATTGTCCACACCACCCGTAGATTGTCCACACCACCCTGGATTGTCCACACCACCCGTAGATTGTCCACACCACCCTGGATTGTCCACACCACCCTGGATTGTTCACACCACCCTGGATTGTCCACACCACCCGTGGATTGTTCACACCACTCTCGGATTTTCCACACCACCCGTGGATTGTCCACACCACTCGTGGATTGTCCACACCACCCGTGGATTGTTCACACCACTCTCGGATTATTCACACCACTCTCAGATTGTTCACACCACACGTGGTTTGTCTATTGCTGTTTAAATATTTAGGGGGAACATCATATGTACAATTTCTTTTTTTTCCGTTTGGCACTTATCTCCTGTAAACTCCAGTGGAGAGCTCTGGTTGTTTGTCCATTTCTAAACTTTACTCGGGTTCCACTCCAGAACTTCAGTTTTACATGCACATCTGTTTTACAGACCTGTCTTACTTGTATGCAGACGGTTGGTTCCACGCCTCTCATGTAGACGCACTTCGACTTCGAAATAAACATCCCCTAATCAGTCGACCTTTACGACATGCTTTTACAGGGCAGTGGATTTGATCAAACTACCAACCCCCACCCCATAATGGGATCCATGAACCCACACGTGGAATATGTGCAGTCAATATCCCTTAACCTCTTTTTTCTATCCCGGGCGTGTAGAGTAACGACTTTACAAAAACATAGGATATGTTCTGTACTCCAGTTGCCAGATTTTACAGGTCAAGTTTAAACTACAAGAAGAATGCTGACTGCGGACTGTCAGAAGCAGTTATCACGCGGTAATTCTGGAAATTTACAAAGGTAGTTAATTATGCAAATATCAACACACACACACACACACACACACACACACACACACACACACACAAACAAGATGATCACAGATGGGTTTTGGCGAAAGGCTGCTGCTGACGACAGTAAACACAGATGCACCTGTGAGTTTACAACAGTGGTAAATCACAGGACAGGACATAGATTTTATATAGTTTCCAGCCAAACAGAAAACAACGTTGGCTAAGTGAATTATTAGAATAACGCACGGCACTTTACGTCGAAAACAAATAGGTCTCCAAAAATCGCTGGACAGTTTTTTTATTTTTCATTTAGGTTTCCAATTGTATTTGATTTTTAATTATAAAATAGTGTGTCTAAATGTATCTAGTTATTATACTGATGTTGATATACACTCAGTCTTTTGCTGTAAAAGTCTAAAAATCAGTCTCTCTATTACACTCATAGCAATAAGTTTCCCTATATTAAACATGCTATGTTTAGATATTTAGACGTCTTTTTCAATTGTTTTGTTCAGTAATGCAGTCTCTCAAGTCCATATTTTTTTTTTTTCAGTTACATACTTCTGGTTCCTTACTGACATTGGCTGTTTATAAGCTCTATTGTCTTGTTCGTTGAAATTTCTAGTCACAGTTTGTGTTGTATTTAGTATTTCGTTGATAAAGACTACGATCAAAACTGGTTGTATTTCTGGACGTGCTTTTCCTTTCCTCCGTTGAGCTTTCCGGATCAAGTTTGTTTTGTATTTAGTATTTAAAATGTTATGTAGATATTTTCACCAAATTGTCCGTGCTTTGTTCCATGCAAGAGTATGTGAAACATTTTCGCAAAGTTATATTTAAGAAAGTAGCCGTGTGACGAAATGTAGTACCACTAAAGTTACTCTCTTTCACTGCTAAAAACAGTCGTCTGTAAAATTTCTCTTCAGTATTCTCAACAGTAGTCGTGTCTTTAAAACAAACTCCCAAGCAAGTTAAAATATGAGCCTCTCTGACTGCTCCAGTTATCATGGTTCAAGAAGCCACGTCATTTCTGATGGCTGGAAACACAACATATAGTATGTACATAGACAACGGTGGATATACTTAGTGCTATAAATAAGCGTTTGTCAGAGAGCAATTGGAAACCACAAGATTTAATTCTTAGCTGCACAGGAGTGTAAGTTGCACCAGGCCGGCGTTGCCGCTGCGGCTGCCGAATTTATAACTTCTGTAGAGGTGGAAGAGGGTATCTGGGATATGCCTGTTGGTCTGCCGTGCGAATTTAAATATTGCAATCACAGGCCATCAAACCACCAAGTAACAAAGTGAAGACGAAAAACGGCCCGCATGCGAGTGGTAGAAGATCGACTTCTCTCCAGACCGGTCTATGTGTGTTCACAAATTTCACAAATGAAATGGATCGTGTTGGCCTGAAGTTGACCAAGGAAGTTAAAACTGGCACTATAATTCATTTACACATTCATACCGTTGTAGTTTTCAAAATGTATCGGTAATTACTTATCACGGGAACGTGATTTTGTTTGCATTGCTCCTATTTTCAGTTCACTGTTTACGTTTGATACAAAAATTACATTTAGATTGTCTAGATGTTCAGCTGAATCGAAACCGACATTTTATATCTCACTTTCATTACTTATGTAAGTTTAGTTAGGTAAGGACATTTTTTTTTTACAATACGGATGGGAGTCCCCCTGGCGGAGCGGCTAGAGGATCACCGCGGATCGGAAGGTCGTGTGTTCGCTCCCTGGAGGATCCGGACTTTTTTCAAAAATGACTTTGGCTCCCAGGTCCACCCAGCCTTGAGTGGGTCCTGGAGGCGGCCGGCGTGATGCTGACCACATGACCCATCTTGTGCCGATGGTTTATAAAAATATAGGTCTAGCCCTATATGCCCTAAACGCCTAAAGGCGTGGAAAAAGGTCCTTTACTTACTTTACCCACAATACGGCCGTCAGTTTCACATACAATGACCACATAATTTTCGCCTTTACAGTTTGTCACTGTTTATATTCCACTACAGCTGAGATATGATATTATGAACATCGACACTAGGTTTTAAATGCATGATAGCTATTTTTCTCTCAGGTAGGGAGTCAGAAAGTAGCCGAGGAGGCACAGTGGATGAGATGCTTGTCGGCCGGGCCTCTTGTCAAAAGCTCAAATTCCTCTCTGTGGCGGATTTAATGTAATGTGTATCAAGCAAAACATGATCTGTTCTTTAGTTTACCCACATATACCAGTTTTTAATAAATTCCCAATGCTCATTGCAAGGAAAATAGGAATAGAACTACGGTCTCTCCCCCCCCCCCCCTTCCCAAAGTATGTGGTAACAGTGGACTAACTGGGAGCCTCCCTCAAAGCAGCAAGGAACAACAGCACAAATAAGCCACTAAGCCAGATGTGATATTTATAGTTAAAGCTGTTTACATAAGATAAGTTAGGTAATGGTCTGACACTAAAAGAGTTTAAAAGTATTGAATGGGAACCCAGGCTGAAGTTCATTCATACAATGGGTACCAGAAAATATTCAGGAAGGTAAAGACGGAGGGAGGTGACCTTAGCTACATTGCTCAGCTAGCGTAGATTGGAGCAGACAAACGCGTGATTAGTACCTTATTGTCACATAGAGCAGTCATCAGCCAGCAGGTCTTTCAGAGAATGTCACGACCCGCTTAAACTTCTCCAGCCCTATGTGCTTTCACAGCCAACGAATCAGTATTTTGTATCCAACTTGGTCGAAGTCTGCACCTGCCTTGTTTTCCAGAAACTGTAAACACCCACTCCCCCCCCCCTTTTCCCCGTCACCGTTGTCTCCAGGCCACCGTGACTTATAACCTGGCTAAAATACCCCAGCTTTCGGGAGAGGATGCTGTTTATGGGCCAGTTTTTATCGACGCTAAAATCCTGTCAGATATCCGAGTTTGTCGTCTTTTTATTCCACAGTATTCTAAGAATTGTTTTGCAGCATTTCAGTTGAAAAGCTCGAATTCTTCTTCGTTAAATAATTGAAATAAAAGTGTCGGACTCACACCCACAAGTGGCCTGTATACACACTACAGCGCGGGAAAAAAAAAGGATATCTTACTTCACTTCGGTGTAATTTGCTTCTGCCTCTACTGAATGTATCTACAACTGTTGTGGTGCAGGCAGGTTCGCCTAGGAGGCTGAGGATTTAGGGCCGTATAGTTAATGCTGCCGCTACGGACTGTGTAGGTTAGTATTTTATTTTTACCCAAAGACAGCAACAACAACAAAATCACAACATTACCGAGTATTCGAGCTCGCGTCTCCTGCATGAGATCCAAACAGTCTTAACCGTTTGACCAGCTACTCCCCTTAATTTACTTCACTTCGCTTTATTCCACTTAGTTTAGTGCACTTTACTTTCCTAGACTTCCTTTTAGTTGACATTATGTACATATTTATATCACAAAGTATCACTCGGGCTGAACATATAACTATCATACACGGTAAACACATCGTTAAAGTTGCCTAACATCCAACATAGCCATTCCACACTTGCAGCAATCGCAAAAGTTTGCTATGTCATATCTATGTTAGAGACAGTCCTCCCTAACTGCAAACACAATCAATCAGTCAGTCAGTCAACAATAATAAATAAATAAATTATTCAGTCAAATAATTGTTAATCAAGAAAAGAATGTCGATCTCTGAGCTAAGCTACACTGATTCAAACACTTCACGGTGCTTCTATCAGAATTTCTGCAAGTCCAAGCACAAGTATAGACTCGCCGTCCTCTAATATGCATGCCGTAACAGGCGACTAGTGAAGGGTGTTTCCTTCAAAGTCGGAGTGCTTCTGTCGGAGAGACGAGGAACCAATAGTCTGCATACAGATAAACCAGATCTGTAAAACGGATGTGTGAATGTATATGTCTCGGTATTTCGACTCTTCATCTTAGGCGTAGAATGAGAGGGGAAACAAAACTCAAATATACAATGCATGGCAAGCTTTCTGTCAGATGTCGCGGGGAATGAAATATTTATTACTTGGAATAGTTGGTTGCATCATGCCTCAATCATTTCTCAGAGTTGACATTTCATTGTCAGGCATAACATTAAATTAATATGTACACAAATGAAAGAATATATATTCACAATAAATCATTAAATAAAATGGAAGATCTTTAAACACAAAACAGAAAGAAAAAATTGACATCAGTAGTCGTGTCTTTAAAACAAACTCCCAAGCAAGTTAAAATATGAGCCTCTCTGACTGCTCCAGTTATCATGGTTCAAGAAGCCACGTCATTTCTGATGGCTGGAAACACAACATATAGTATGTACATAGACAACGGTGGATATACTTAGTGCTATAAATAAGCGTTTGTCAGAGAGCAATTGGAAACCACAAGATTTAATTCTTAGCGGCACAGGAGTGCAAGTTGCACCAGGCCGGCGTGTCCGCCGCGACTGCCGATTTTATAACTTCTGTAGAGGTTGAAGAGGGTATCTGGGATGTGCCCTGTTGGTCTGCCGTGCGAATTTAATTATTGCAATCACAGGCCATCAAACCACCAAGTAACAGATTGGAGGCGAAAAACGGCCCGCATGCGAGTAGTAGAAGGTCGACTTCTCTCCAGACCGGTCTATGTGTGTTCACAAATTTCACAAAATTGGATTGACATGGATCGTGTTGGCCTGGAGTTGACCAAGGAAGTTAAAACTGGCACTATAATTCATTTACACATTCATGCCGTTGTAGTTTTCAAAATGTATCGGTAATTACTTATCATGGGAACGTGATTTTGTTTGCATTGCTCCTATTTTCAGTTCACTGTTTACGTTTGATACAAAAATAATATTTAGATTGTCTAGATGTTCAGCTGTATCGAAACCGACATTTTATATCTCACTTTCATTACTTATGTAAGTTTAGTTAGGTAAGAAATTTTTTTTTTTTTTTTACAATATGGATGGGAGTCCCCGTGGCGGAGCGGCTAGAGGCTCACCGCGAATCGGAAGGTCGTGGGCTCGCTCCCTGGAGGATCCGGACTTTTTTCAAAAATGACTTTGGCTCCCAGGTCGACCCAGCCTTGAGTGGGTACCGGATGCAGTCCCGGGAAGTAAAGGCGGCCGGCGTGATGTTGACCCCATGACCCATCTTGTGCCGATGGTTTATAAAAATATAGGTCTAGCCCTATATGCCCTATACGCCTAAAGGCGTGGAAAAAGGTCCTTTACTTACTTTACCCGCAATACGGCCGTTAATTACACATACAATGACCACATAATTTTCGCCTTTACAGTTTGTCACTGTTTATATTCCACTACAGCTGAGATATGATATTGTGAACATCAACACTAGGTTTTTAATGCATGATAGCTATTTTTCTGTCAGGTAGGGAGTCAGAAAGTAGCCGAGGAGGCACAGTGGATAAGATGCTTGTCGGCCGGGCCTCTTGTCAAAAGCTCGAATCCCCACTGGTGGATTTAATGTAATGTGTATCAAGCAAAACATGATCTGTTCTTTAGTTTACCTACATATAACAGTTTTTAATAAATTCCCAATGCTCATTGCAAGGAAAACACGAATAGAACTACGGTATTACTCCTCCACCCCTAAGTCTGTGGTAAAAGTGGACTACATTGGAGCCTCCCTCAAAGCATCAAGGAACAACAGCACAAATAAGCCACTGAAGCGTATGTATGCACAAAATACCCGGATGTGATATTTATAGTTAAAGCTGTTTACATAAGATAAGTTAGGTAATGGTCTGGGACTAAAAGAGTTAATAAGTATTAAATGGGAACCCAGGCTGAAGTTTATTCATACAATGGGTACCAGAAAATATTCAGGGAGGTAAAGACGGAGGGAAATGACGTTAGCTACATTGCTCAGCTAGCGTAGATTGGAGCAGACAAACGCGTGATTAGTACTTTATGGTCACATAGAGCAGTCATCAGCCAGCAGGTCTTTAAGAGAATGTCACGACCCGCCAGAAAATTTTCCAACATTATGTGCTTTCATAGCCAACGCATCTTCAGTATTTTGTATCCAACTTGGTTGAGGTCTGCACCTGCCTCGTTTTCCACAAACTGTAAACCCCCCCCCCCCCCCTCCTTCTCTTTCCCCGTCACCGTTGTCTCCAGGCAACCGTGACCTATAACCTGGCTAAAATACCGCAGCTTTCGGGAGAGGATGCTGTTTATGGGCCAGTTTTTCTCGACGCTAAAATCCTGTCAGATGTCGAAGTTTGTCGTCTTTTTATTCCACAGTATTCTAAGAATTGTTTTGCAGCATTTCAGTTGAAAAGCTCGAATTCTTCTTCGTTAAATAATTGAAATAAAAATGTCGCACTCACACCGACAAGTGAGCTGCATACACACTACAGCGCAGGAAAAAAAGGATATCTTACTTCACTTCGGTGTAATTTTCTTCTGCCACTACTGAATGTATCTACAACTGTTGTGGTGCAGGCAGGTTCGCCAAGGAGGCTGGGGATTTAGGGCCGTATAGTTAATGCTGCCGCTACGGACTGTGTAGGTTAGTATTTTATTTTTACCCAAAGACAGCAACAACAACAAAATCACAACCTTACTGAGGATTCGAGCTCGCGTCTCCTGCATGAGATCCAATCTTAACCGTTTGACCAGCTACTCCCCTTAATTTACTTCACTTCGCTTTATTCCACTTAGTTTAGTGCACTTTACTTTCCTAGACTTCCTTTTAGTTGACATTATGTACATATTTATATCACAAAGTATCACTCGGGCTGAACATATAACTATCATACACGGTAAACACATCGTTAAAGTTGCCTAACATCCAACATAGCCATTCCACACTTGCAGCAATCGCAAAAGTTTGCTATGTCATATCTATGTTAGAGACAGTCCTCCCTAACTGCAAAACAAATCAATCAGTCAGTCAGTCAACAATAAATAAATAAATAAATTATTCAGTCAAATAATTGTTAATCAAGAAAAGAATGTCGATCTCTGAGCTAAGCTACACTGATTCAAACACTTCACGGTGCTTCTATCAGAATTTCTGCAAGTCCAAGCACAAGTATAGACTCGCCGTCCTCTAATATGCATGCCGTAACAGGCGACTAGTGAAGGGTGTTTCCTTCAAAGTCGGAGTGCTTCTGTCGGAGAGACGAGGAACCAATAGTCTGCATACAGATAAACCAGATCTGTAAAACGGATGTGTGAATGTATATGTCTCGGTATTTCGACTCTTCATCTTAGGCGTAGAATGAGAGGGGAAACAAAACTCAAATATACAATGCATGGCAAGCTTTCTGTCAGATGTCGCGGGGAATGAAATATTTATTACTTGGAATAGTTGGTGTTGCATCATGCCTCAATCATTTCTCAGAGTTGACATTTCATTGTCAGGCATAACATTAAATTAATATGTACACAAATGAAAGAATATATATTCACAATAAATCATTAAATAAAATGGAAGATCTTTAAACACAAAACAGAAAGAAAAAATTGACATCAGACAGAAGATTGGGAAAACATCAGCTTTTCCTTGACTGCACCAAGAGATATCTAATTTCACCCCTTACAACTCCTAATTTGTATACGTCGTTTATATATCATGTCACTGTTTGGTCCGGGCTTTGGTTACTTCAACCGTTGGCAGCCCTAGTATTACCAAACCCTACGGTTCAATGGGGCTTACCAGGATTTCTACACGTAGGATTCTCATCCTTAAGGTGTGAATCTCACGTACTGCAGTCATAAAGGGGACGCACTGCAACACAAATCCCTTTATTTATGATGGCATTAAATTGCAGGATATAAATAATAATAATAACACGAAACTCATTTCCTCCGAGGAACATTCGACTAAAAAAATCTACACATATTAACAGAAGCACATTTCGGCTTGAGATTTAGTACAGCTCCGGACTGTTCTGGCTTCTGAAGGATGACGATTTGAACTGAAATCTTGTCTGATTTGCCACAAATCGTAGTTAAAAACAAAATACATCACCTCTGTTATCAATACATGGCTTGCCAAACAATATCAACATTCAAGTCAGTAGACACATTACGTTTTACATCGTTCACTTAGGCGCTGTAAGTCGACAAAGAGGACGAATGAATAAAGGTAAAGGTAAAGTCGGGAGATGTGAACCAGCGTCATTGCACACGGTTATAAACCAAAAGTGCTCTGCCACCAGTACGGACAGCTGATAAGAAACTGTCCGCCTGTGTCGCCGTCCGCACGAAGCTCCTTAGCTACAGCGAATGAATATATGTAGCAAACCAACTGGTCTCTGGTATCTAACATTGAAAGTATACCTCTTGTGTACACCTCTGATTGAACTGTCGACTGTTTTTGACTTTCCCGCGTCTGATCACAACGCTGGCACTTTTGGCTGCAGTAGTTTGTTTAGGTAGCTAAAGGTTAACGTTCAGCATGGGCTGTTGATGAGCTGTGCTGTGCTGTCCTGGCCCGCACTGCCGCCGCTGCTGCTGCTACAGCCGCTGTCCGAAAGTACATCTGACACTGAAACCAGAGTTATCTCGCTGCGTCTGGGTGGCGCTGTATGGTTGCCGCGATACAGTGGGTTGGCAAACGTGTTGTCGGTGTCCATTCCAAAGTCCCTGCTGCAAATAAAAAAAGCATTAAACGATATTATACATATATTTACAAGATAAAGTTAACACCATCAATGTCATCATCATCATCCTGCTTCTCATCGTCGACATAATCACGTTGAACAGCGATCTGCCCCCCCCGCCCCCTCCTCTCCCGCTCCCTCTCGGGAACAGGAACAAGTTTTCAATGTGGGCGTCAAGCAATGTTGAAAATTAGTGCATTGTACTTGTAATAATTCGGACCACAAATAGCAAACATCAACAAGACAAAAAAGCGTCAACAAAAGCATTGATATTTGGACAGTACCAGTTGTTGGTGATGGTTTCGTTGTCTCTTCTTTTATTTGGGGTAATTCTTTCTCTGTCTCTTCTTGTATTTGGGGTGATTCTTTCTCTGTCTCTTCTTGTATTTGGGGTGATTCTTTCTCTGTCTCTTCTTGTATTTGGGGTGATTGTTTCTTTGTCTCTTCTTGTGTTTGGGGTGATTGTTTCTCTGTCTCTTCTTGTATTTAGGGTGATTGTTTCTCTGTCTCTTCTTGTATTTAAGATGATTGTTTCTCTGTCTCTTCTTGTATTTAGGGTGATTGTTTCTCTGTCTCTTCTTGTATTTAGGGTGATTGTTTCTCTGTCTCTTCTTGTATGTGGGGTGATTGTTTCTCTGTCTCTTCTTGCATTTGGGGTGATTGTTTCTTTGTCTCTTCTTGTATGTGGGGTGATTGTTTCTCTGTCTCTTCTTGTATGTGGGGTGATTGTTTCTCTGTCTCTTCTTGTATTTAGGGTGATTGTTTCTCTGTCTCTTTTTGTATTTAGGGTGATTGTTTCTCTGTCTCTTCTTGTATGTGGGGTGATTGTTTCTCTGTCTCTTCTTGTATTTGGGGTGATTGTTTCTTTGTCTCTTCTTGCATTTAGGGTGATTGTTTCTCTGTCTCTTCTTGTATGTGGGGTGATTGTTTCTTTGTCTCTTCTTGTATTTAGGGTGATTGTTTCTCTGTCTCTTCTTGTATTTAAGATGATTGTTTCTCAGTCTCTACTTGTATGTGCGGTGATTGTGTCTTTGTCTCTTCTTGTATGTGGGGTGATTGTTTCTTTGTCTCTTCTTGTATGTGGGGTGATTGTTTCTTTGTCTCTTCTTGTATGTGGGGTGATTGTTTCTTTGTCTCTTCTTGTATGTGGGGTGATTGTTTCTCTGTCTCTTCTTGTATGTGGGGTGATTGTTTCTCTGTCTCTTCTTGTATGTGGGGTGATTGTTTCTCTGTCTCTTCTTGTATTTAGGGTGATTGTGTCTTTGTCTCTTCTTGTTTTCGGGCTTTTCCTTTTTGTCATCCTCTTTATCATCGCATTTTATTATGTTGGGGAAGAGGGGGGGGGGGGGGAGGGGGGTAGGCATAATTTGTTTTACATTTAAAAAAATTTACATTCACTTTCTGATTATCCGTTCCCACACACCTCTCATCAACTAAGGTGTCCCAATAGGTTTCTGCCCATCTTTGAGCAGGTCGGCTGATTCATCATCATCATCATCATCATCATCATCATCCTCTTGCCTTCCTGCCTTCTTTCCTGCCTTTCTTCCTTCCTTACTTCCTTGCTTCCTTTCTTCTTCCTTTTCTTCTTCCTCCATAACTCCCCTTCCCCTTCTTCCCCGCTGCCATGATCTCACAACCCCCTCCCCTCACCCCTGTGCTGTTTGTAACATGGCCCAAGTGTCTCATATTCCGAGACCCTATACGAGTCAGTTGTCTATCTATGTGCAGATCTTGTAGACTGTGTGTATTATACCCGTTTTTGATGCAGGTTATTTTCTGTATTTGCCTACAATATTTAAGCTCAAGGCGCCAATTTTCTTCTCTACAGATTAACGGATAGTTCCCGCCCCACAACTGGGTGTCGCCACGGAAACGATGCAGTCTTTTCAACATGTTCAACATTTTGTGCTGGCCTTGTGCACTGGGCTTGTCATGTTTTGGTTTTTTTTCTGCATTGCCGCTGACGGCCTCCTTCTGAGATCTCTGAATTAGCGTACACCTTTATATTGTCCCGCCAGATTGTACACAACATTGTACGTCTTCTCGTTGAATAGGATTGTATTTAATAATCATCATCTTTCTAATTCAACTCTACTCTTTTTATTCTGCTCCCCAGTGGAGCATAGGCCCTCAACCATCTCGAGCCATTATATTTCAATGCTCCCAGAAGTAGTTTGTTGATATTCCCTCTTGCTATTCCGCTGAATGTAGAGTGTCGACCAGATCCCTGGGCACTCACAGCTGTATCATTCTCTCCAGACCACAATGATCGATTCGTACCTCCGCTCTGGTCACTTGCTCACTAAGGGCCTTGAGTTTTATTCTTGAAAAGAAAGGTACAGATGGTGACCTCAAAGGATCTAAAAAAAAAGGAGCCACTACTCCGCAATGTAGTGTCTATAACAGTAAGTTATAAAGAGTCCTTAAACAAGTGCTAATGCCTAACATCAGAAAACATCCCTGACACTGCAGTGCCGCGATTCTACTAATGCTACAACAAAATATGCTAAGAGCAAGGAAACGTGTCCGTTACAGCTATCATATATCGCACTTTTATGAAAGCCAATCAATATATCATAATATCATGCCAGATCACTGTCCTAGCTGACATTTCTGCAAGCAGAGCCACACATTACAGTCATCCATAATTCATGGCCAGACAACAGACAATTTCCCCCTTACCTGCAGGAGTCGATGTCCTCGTCAAATGTTGTCTGTTGGGTGCTGTCAGGTGAAGGGAAACGACAACAGTTAGTGTCATGTCGATATCTTTCTTTTCTGTCTGTCTGTCTGTCTGTCTGTCTGTCTGTCCTGTCGGTCGGTCGGTCGGTCGGTCGGTCGGTCGGTGGGTCGGTCGGTCGGTCGGTCGGTTGATCGGTCGGTCGGTCGGTCTGTCTGTCTGTCTGTCTGTCTGTCTGTCTGTCTGTCTGTCTGTCTGTCTGTCTGTCTGTCTGTCTGTCTGTCTGTCTGTCTGTCTGTCTGTCTGTCTGTCTGTCTTTTGTATGTCTGTCTGTCTGTCGGTCTTTTGTCTGTCTGTCTGTCTGTCTGTCTGTCTGTCTGTCTGTCTGTCTGTCTGTCTGTCTGTCTGTCTGTCTGTCTGTCTGTCTGTCTGTCTGTCTGTCTGTCTGTCTGTCTGTCTGTCTGTCTGTCTGCCTGTCTTTCTGTCAGTCTTTTGTTTGTCTGTCTGTCTGTCGGTCTTTTGTCTGTCTGTCTGTCTGTCTGTCTGTCTGTCTGTCTGTCTGTCTGTCTGCTGAGTGGAAGGTGAGTCTATGGAAACACTGAGTGTAAAAAAGGCAAGCGTGGAAAGTTTGGGACGCTAATTAAATTTAAAAATGTTGTCTTTTTTCTCCGCCTCACTATTTTTCTCTCTCTTTCTGTCTCTCCCTCTCTTTCACACACACACACACACACACACACACACACACACACACACACACACACACACACACACACACACAAGCACACATGGAAGCATCCACATATAAGCTTCAACAATCACATTCTCAGACATACACACTCACAAACGAGCAATCAAATATAGACAAACTCACACACAGCCAGTCTCTACCACACAGATAAGAACACACGAAAACCTTAAACTTGCACCAACACACAGATAAGAACACACGAAAACCTTAAACTTGCACCAACACACAGATAAGAACACTCGAAAACCTTAAACTTGCACCAACACACAGATAAGAACACTCGAAAACCTTAAACTTGCACCAACACACAGATAAGAACACTCGAAAACCTTAAACTTGCACCAACACACAGATAAGAACACTCGAAAACCTTAAACTTGCACCAACACACAGATAAGAACACTCGAAAACCTTAAACTTGCACCACCAACACACAGATAAGAACACTCGAAAACCTTAAACTTGCACCAACACACAGATAAGAACACTCGAAAACCTTAAAACTTGCACCAAACACACAGATAAGAACACTCGAAAACCTTAAACTTGCAGACCGAGTATTTCTCTAAATCTTTCTTCTTCTCTTCTCTGTTTCTGATGGAGAAAGCCAGAAAAAAAGTCAGATACGGGGAATGTTAAACTGGAGCGGATGTTGTTTCATGTGTGTGTGTGTCTGTGTGTGTGTGTAAATCAAAGAGAGAAAGAGAGACACCTGGGAGAAAAAAAAAAAAAGATAGATAAATGCATAAGAGAAAGAGTGGGTCAAAAGTGTCAGGGGAAAACACATATTTGTGTAGGGACAGGCAAGCAGGAACTACAGAACCAGCTTAAGTGAGGCGATTATCTAGACAGATGGTTCTGTGTTAAGAGGTAGACAAAGCGCATGAAGGTTAATCGCGAAAGCTAATCGACGTATTCTCAGTGCAACAAAGTCAAGTCTATGCTACTACAACACTACGCACACATATGGTGATTGTAAACGACTGGCAAATCTGTGCAGAGTGGCAAGCATTGATTCAGAGATCGCGGGTAGTTAGCGTTCTTAGAAAAATATTCTCCATCGCATGCTGGGCAATGAACAAGCAGAAAGACAGGCTGGTCCTGCACCAGTTGGTGGGGATTTTATGTATGGCAAGCTAAACGTGGACAAGGCCCTTTGGGCGAAAGTGAACAATGCGGAGGTACGAATAGATCGTTACAGTCTGGACATAATTGTTCAGCTAGGAGTGACCATGGGATCTGGTCAACACTCTACAGTCAGATGAAAAGATCTGAAACTTTGCGCTGGCTGCTAAAGATGGGGACAACGCTCTTATATGAATGTCCCTAGTGCTGGTATCTCAGTTCTGAGCTCAACACACATATGCATACACTATTTCTCTCGTCTTTACTCGCCTAAATGCAAAAAGCGCTTGCGTGTGTTTTTCTTCTTCTTCTTTTTCACTTCCTCTTTTACCGCTGTGGGTGTCGAGGGAGATATAAGGTTCTGTTTCTAGCTCTTCTGGCTGCCTCGACCATAGGCATATCGTGCTGTTGTAGAGCTTCTCTGATGTTATCCTTCCATCTTGTTCTTGGTCTACCCCGTGCTCTACGTCCTTCTTCTCTTTCCATGTATGCTTTGTATGGTATGGTGTCACAAGGCATTCTCTCTAAGTGGGCAAACCATTTCACTTGCTGTCTTTGTGTGCGTGTGTTTTAATTCCACAAAATATTCCCACAAATCCCATTATATCCATTGTTTCATTATTACCTGGTTTGCAAGCACACTTTTTAAATGCAGCACTAAATATTCGTTTTGCCGCGTAAGGACAAGGAAGTAGGTGAGAATGAAAGCAGCTTCCGTCTTAACTTGTTCATAGCACTAGCTCTATTGTCAACATATTCAACGCAAAAATTTTAATCCGTCTCGTCTTTGACAGGAGGTTTTGCTTCCTGATTATCCAGCATTTTGATCTTTTTCATATCTTCCTTGTGCTGTGCGCCTTTCTTGTTTTAATTCTCCTTTGCAAAGTATTTCCCTACGTCTCATCCCTCCCACAACAGATTCTGGATTATTCTATTCAAAATGTCATTAGATGCATTTTCATTTTTAGCCCAGTTTTCATCTATTGTAATTTTCGGACCGCTTTTCTGATCCGGCAGCTTCTGCAGCGTGCTTTGTCTAATGCTACATTTCCTTCAGAGTAAACAAGGCAGACCGAGAGAGGGATCATAATGTATGGGTAACACATGGTCTTTACAATATGACCGAGGCTTTTAGCTATATATAAAAAATTAGATTTAACCTCATTAAGGGAAAACGGCAAAAACTGTTAAATCTGATGAGGTCTACATATATAACTACAAGTATATGTTTTATTTGTAGAGATATTTCCTAGAGTTTTATAAAATAGGATAATTAGTTTTTTTTTAATGAGTATGGCGGCACGGCCGGGACACAGCTACAAAAACACGGCTGTCCTGGTGAAAACGGGACGTATGGTCGTCCTAGTTTTGGAGAGGTTTCAAAATACCACTGTCGCCTGGAAAGGCGAAAATGTACCAACATTCTTTCCTAACAGTGACATATGATTTAATTAGAACAAGACAATGGTTTCTTTATTGTCTACTGTGTATGTATTGGTGTCTCTGAGTGTATGAATGTGTATGTATTGGTGTCTCTGAGTGTATGAATGTGTATGTATTGGTGTCTCTGAGTGTATGAATGTGTATGTATTGGTGTCTCTGAGTGTATGAATGTGTATGTATTGGTGTCTCTGAGTGTATGAATGTGTATGTATTGGTGTCTCTGAGTGTATGAATGTGTATGTATTGGTGTCTCTGAGTGCATGAATGTGTATGTATTGGTGTCTCTGAGTGTATGAATGTGTATGTATTGGTGTCTCTG